CGCTCCTTCCCTGACACCTTCCCTGCCCCCCCTCACGCTCCTCCCCTGACACCCCTCCCTCCAGAACAGTCTTCCCCTAACACTCTTACCCCCAGGACACCCCTTCCCCAAGATGCCCCTCCCTCAGGCCACCTTCCCTTGACACCCCTTCTCCTGGGACACCCCTCCGCTTGGATGCTCTTCCCCTGATGGTCCTCCCTCCAGAACTCTCCTCCCCTGAGATTCCTTCCTCCCTCACACACCCCTCCCCCCACCCCCTTCCTTGACACCTTGACACCTCCAGGACACGCCTCCCCTGCCACCCCTTCCCCTGACACTTCTCCCTCCCCCCTCCCCCACCACTCCCCCACCTCATCGGTCCCCCACACACCCCTCCCCCTGGGTTGCCCATCCCTCGGGGACTCTCCTCCCCTGACACTCCTCCCTGTGACACTCTCCCCGCCAGGACATCCCCCCCACCCCTGCATCCTGGGATGCTCCTCCCCCAACACCCCTTCTCGCTGATGATCCCCAGCCCCCCAGGACGCTCCTCTCCCCTCTCCCCACGAAGCTCACACAGGCGGATTCACAGAGCTCCCCCTCCACACCCCTCCTCCCAGTGGGGTCCGACGGGTTCGAGTGGAGGGGTGAGGGTGCTCGCAGTTGACTTCTTAGCACCTGGCCCCCCGTGACCTGTATCCGCACCTGGAGTCGGGTTCCCCAGTTAGCCTGGGCAGTTGGGGGGCCCTCTCCCAAGAGATGGGAAGTGCCACCGCAGAGTTCCCGCCGCGAGTAGCGAGTAGCGAGCTCAGCGTTTGTCACGCTGTGCCCCTCACTCAGCCGCACCTGCTGGGCCCGAGGCCTCGCTTCTGCCCCTGTGGCTTCGGAGAAGTGGCAGGTGAAGTTCGAGCCTCCGCGGCACCTGCGGGGCTGCCCTCAGCAGTCCCGCCCCAGGCGCCCAGCACACCTCCCTGCCCCTGTCCTGCACGCAGAAGGGGCACAAGCCACCTGAGCCGGCGGGCAGTGGAGGGGTCCACACGGGTAGATGCAGCACGAGCTCAAACTCAGATTCTCAAACCAGCATGGCCGTCGGGGCAGACGAGTGGGGACGGCACGGTCCCAGAGTGAGGTGGCCCGGCGGGCCAGACTGTCTCTTCCAGAGGGTGCTGGTCCCTGGCCTCGCCTGCCTCCACTGCGCTGTGGGCTCCGAATCTCAGCTTCATTTCGAACGCTCTTCCTTCGCGCGAGGAAGGACCACTGAGGGGCAGGGTGCACCCTGGGAGGGCGAGGCCGGGCTGCCTGTCTCCTGGGGCGCAGCGGGGACCGTGGGGTCGCCAGTGTGCGCCGTCAGCCACGCGTTGGTCTCTTCACGTTCCTATAAAAATAGTGCTGGCCGGCGGCGCTCTGTCCTGTGCAGGGTTGCACGTAGCAGGAGATGAAGCGAAGACGGTTACCCAAGGAGGCTCTCGTAGACTCTAAAAGGGGGCCTGGAACAGTGGGGAAATGCTGGTGGCTTCGCGGTGGAGAGCACAGCCCGAGGGCACAGGGCTCGGGCTTCCGGGTGCGCGGGGCTGCCTCGGATCTCGGCGGGCATTGTTGCTTCCGTCAGAAGGAAAGGGATCTGAGCTACTGGGTCAGGCCACCCGGTGCCGAACACAAGACCATTGGCTCTGACAGAGGCACTCCCGCCATCTGTCCTCTGGGGGTGGACTCCGTGTTCGGAGCTGTATGAAGGAACTGGCTCCCCATCTTCCAGGGACAGGGTTCTGTGGCTGAGATGGCCGTGGGCAAGGGGGCACCCATCCCGCACCGGTCTCTTTCCAGAAGCTTCCAGTAAGGTTTCTGAAGTTGCAGGGTTTTTTACGATGCCAGATGCCAGGGGGGCTGTCCACACACTTCCCTTGATGTTGAGTTTGGTGATAGCTCTGGTGGACCGCTGACCCACCACCAGGCTAAGTAACGACCCCTGTCCTGTGCTCCGGCCTCTGCACATGGACCAGAGCGCGTTCAGCAGCGGCGTTTGCGTGCCTGCTCAGCCACCGTGAGCTTGCGGCCAGGACGTGCTTTTGTGTCTATTTCTGTCTTCTGTCTTCCAGAGGCCTTCATAGGGTTTCCTTGACTCCTTGCCGGTAGTCTCTGCCATTGCTCTTGTCCCCATGATGCCTTTCCAGCCATGCCCCCCTTCCGCTGCCCATCCCCCACCGCTCCCGGCCGGCTGCTGAGGACACGCAGGACACCGGCCACCCACCCCGGGCGGCCCGGACTCTCTCCTAGGTGCACTCACAATTCTTCAGACCTCACGTTACCGTCTTTTTTCTTTTTTCTTTTAGTCTCTCTTTTTGCTGGAATTTCCCCCACACTTTTCGAGAAAGGATTCATAGGTGAACTTGCTGTGTTTTTCTCACGCTCGTGGGAATTCCTCATTTGTCGGGGTCTGTGATTCCCAGTCCAAGCAAGTTTTCTCAGAACATTCTGCATTGATGATGCGAAGTCTTCAGGTAGCCTGACCCTGCTCTGTCCCAGATGCCTGATGAGAGACACATTTGTTCTTTCTCCTGACACACTTCTGGGCTCGAGCGCACGGGGCTTCCCTCAAGAGCAGCTCTGACACTCTCACCCGGCGTTATGCAGACCCCTGCCCAAGGGCTCCCGAGCCCCTTCCTCTGGGGGTTTTGTGGAGGCCCCGTGGCACAGGTGTGGCTGATGAGATCATCGGTCCTGGGCAGTCGGTCCCCTGGCCACTGGCCCCCAAACTCCAAGGGTCACCTGGTTGGTGGGAACCCAGGCCAGGTTGAAAGGGGCTTGTCATACACGACAGCAGACGCTCCTCGGCCCACACGCTCGGGGAGTTTCGGACCCGGGACCAGGACCAAACCAAGTGTCTTCCTCCACCGCAGCGTCAGTGACTCGTGTTTTCCTCTGGACGCTTTTAGAGGCCCTGGCGCCTTGCCGTCTTCACCCTGGGTCCTTGTGATTTGTCGGCCGATCTGCATGAGGGTCCCTTCCTCAGTCCTCCTCGGGGGACTCTGGCCTCATTCGTCCTGGGCCTCCTGCCCTCGCTCTGGGCTGGGCCTCAGACGCTGCCCGTCTGCTGCCTCTGGGCCCGTGTCTGTGTGAACACCCCAGTGGGTCTCCCAACGCGCCCCATTCGGGGCCCCTGCCCCCGCTTGCCTCCCCTCTAGGCTGGAGAAGCTGCCTTCAAAGCTGAATGAGGGCGTGAAGGAGAAGGTGGGCCTGGCCCACCGAGCAGCCGTGAGTGCCCACGTGACCTCCGGAGGGGGCTCTGAGTGCCGGGCTCGGGGGACTTTTGCCCGTAAGCAGACGGCACACCTCCTTAGCTCCGCACCCCTATGGGCGAGTCCGTGGGGTGACATGGCTTTGAAAATCCTACCTCCAAAGGGTCTCAAGGCCGGTTTTGATCCATCTCTAACTCCTGCCTTTGCTTTGCCCCATCACGCTCGTTGGGAATGTTCTGTGTGCCCGCTCTGCCGGCCTCCGTGTGCTACATGAGGTAGAGTTTTGTTCCTCTTTGAGTACTGTGAGGGGGTCGAAGCTGCACTTTCTAAAAGCGGTAGCAGGGCACCTGGCCTCGGGTCCCGATCCCAGGGTCATGGGATGGAGCCCCGCATCGGGCCCCACGCTGACCAAGGAGCCTGCCTGGGGTTCTCTCTCTCCCTCTGCCCCTCCCCCGCTCACACTCTCTTTAAAATAAGAAATAAATAAAAGTAGTAGCTTGTTGCGCTCCTTATCGGGATGCTCGAGGCCTCACCTGGGCTCCAGCC